TAGAATGCCCAACTCGTGGAATGTGTGTACTATTATGTGGACGTGAGCTTGAACTTGCTCTCTGGTGCAGCCGCGTACCAGTGTCTAAGTACGGAAACACCTGTATGCCTTGTCGACGAAGGTATGCTGCCACGACAGCCATACATTCTGTGAACACTCTGGGGGCCGAGGACAAGCCGAAGGGAAGGACTGCAAATTGGTAGTGCACCTTGTTTACCACAAATCGCAGGAAGCGCCTGTGGGGCGGATAGATCGCTATATGAAAATATATGTTGAAAATATACGCCCTTCATGTTGAGGGCGGCGAACCAGTCTCCAGGATCCAGGGAAAGGATAATGGTCCCCAATGATACCATGCGGAACTTCAACTTTACTATGAATTTGTTGAGTCCGCGTAAGTCTAAGATGGGTCGCAGACCCCCCTTTGACTTGGGGATCAGGAAGTAGCGGGAATAAAACCCCCTGCCCCTTAACTCTGGCGGAACCTCCTCTATGGCCCCCATAGAGAGGAGCCCAAAAAACCTCCTGTGTAAGGAGATGCTCGTGAGAAGGGTCCCTGAAGAGGGACGGGGAGGGGGGGTGGGAGGGAGGGAACGAAGAAAACTGGAGAGCGTATCCCCTCTCCACCATGCGAAGGACCCAACGGTCCGAGGTTATAAGGGACCAAGCACGGTGGAAACGGGAGAGGCGATCCCGAAAGGAGGGAGCTGGATCCTGGGTAGTGGCTGGGGCGCCGTCCTCGACCGCACCTTCAAAAGTTCTGCCTAGGGCCTGAAGGTGGCCTAGGCAGCCCCTGGTTCTGACCGGGTTGAGGGCCGGTCGACCTTCGCCTACCACCTCGTCCCTGCCTTCTGGCGAAGTCCTGTCTCGGATGAGGCGGGGGAGGGTAGAACCTTTGAGGCTGGGGCCCAAAGGGTCTGCGCTGGGGCCCTGGGACATGCATCCCCAGGGAGCGCATGATCGTTCTCGAGTCCTTGAGGCTCTGCAGCTGAGAGTCCGTCTTCTCCGAGAACAGCCCGTGGCCCTCAAAGGGTAAATCCTGCAGGGTCTGCTGCAGTTCCGGCGGCAAGCCCGAGACCTGGAGCCAGGAGACTTGCCGCATGGCGATACCTGAGGCCAGCGTCCTCGCAGCCGAGTCCGCTATGTCCAAGGAGGCCTGTAAGGAGGTCCGTGCCACCTTCTTACCCTCCTCCACTAAGGCCCCGAACTCTTCCCTTGAGTCTTGGGGAACCAACTCCTTAAACTTCCCCATAGAGTTCCAGGAATTAAAGTTATAGCGGCTCAAGAGCGCCTGCTGGTTAGCCGCTCTGAGTTGCAGCCCTCCCGCTGAATACACCTTATGCCCAAACAAATCAAAGCGCTTAGCGTCCTTCGATTTGGGTGCTGCAGCCTGCTGGCCGTGACGCTCCCTTGCGTTGACCGATGACACCACTAGTGAACACGGTTGGGGATGAGCATATAGGTACTCATAGTCCTTGGAAGGGACGAAGTACTTCCTTTCCACCCCTCTGGCTGTGGGTGGAATAGAGGCAGGAGTTTGCCATATTGTAGTGGCATTAGCCTGAACTGTCCAAATCAAAGGCAATGCCATCCTGGATGGGGCATCCGCCAAGAGGATGCTCACCACCGGGTCCTGTACCTCTACTATCTCCTCCGCCTGGAGATCCATATTACGCGCCACCCTATGTAATAGGTCCTGGTGGGCACGAAGATCTATCGGGGGTGGACCTGTGGCGGTTGTGCCCGCCACCGCCTTATCTGGGGAAGATGAGGAGGATGCCTCAGGTGGCAAGGGGTCTAATGGCGGGTCCTGCTCCAAGGGTCCCTGAAGCAGAGCATCGCCTGCCCCTGGGTCCAGGGCCTCAGGTGGTGTAGGCACGGGAGCCTCCATGCCCCCTGGGGGAGGGCGGGAGATGGTGGCCTCCGGGGCCCTGGGCTCAGAGCGTGCCGAGCGAGAGGCTGATGGTGGAGCCCCCTGCGCCTGGTGATACGCCCACGGGGTCCAGAACGACCAGTGTGTAGGTCCCTGTGCAGGGTCCTCCGCCACCTCCTGCCAGCGGCCCAAGTCAGCCGCAGCAGCCTGCCCCTGAGGAGGGTATGCCGATCTCGAGGCCCCATCGGAGGAGCGAGACGCTGATCTCGAGGGCCAAGGCGGTGCCGAATGTGTCGAAATCTGCTCCAGATGATACGGTGCCGATCGGTGCCGGTCCGGAGGTGATCGGTCCCTGCGCGGTGCCGGTGAGCGGTACCGGGATCGGTGCCGGTAGCCATGTCGGTGCTGAGATCCGGATCTGGACCTGGATGAGGATGACCGCGAGTAGACATGGTACTGGGAGCGGCCCCTTGAACTCGAGCGGCGCTCGTACCGGTGCCAGGAACTAAGTCTGGAGTCCGATCAGTACCGATGATCGTGACGGTGCCGAGACGTAGAGCGGTGCCGCGACGAGGATCTTGGCCGCGAGTACGACCGGTGCCGAGGCGATAGTCGGCGCCAGGACTGCGAGCGGCGTTGGGACCTGCTCCGAGACCTGGAGCGGTGCCGTGAGTCCACGGCCTGAGACGGCGGGCGCACCAGGGCAGGCTTGCCCCTGGATTGCACTGCGCGAGGAGCCGACGGTGCCGGTGGTTGGGGCGGTGCTGGCTCCGTGAGAGCAATAAGGTCTCTCGCCGTCGCGAAGGTCTCTGGGGTGGACGGAAGACAAGGCTCCACCACCAACCGAGGTGGTGATCCAGTCCGCACCGGACTCAACGGCCGCGGTGCCGGAGTCGACGGTGTAGCAGGCACTTGCTTCTGGTGGTCCAAAGGTGGACGCGGCTCTACCCCCAGCACCGGGGGAGCCGGTGTCTTCAGGACAGCAGTCTCCTGCGCCTTGCGGATTTCTTGTGCCCCGGAGACAAGGACCGGCGCCGAGGCCCCTGTGGCGGGCGCGGTGCCGAAGGAGGCCGGTGCCGTGAGGCCTTGTCCGACTCTGCCCACGGTGCAGTACCGGTCGGTGCCGCAGGGGCGCTGCGCACCGAGGCACTCGGTGCTGGGGCTGGACGAGCTGATGGAGGATCCGGGCTAAGTGCCGCCTCCATGAGGAGCTGCCTAAGCCTAAAGTCCCGCTCCTTTTTGGTTCTCGGTCTGAAGGCCTTACAGATCTTACACTTATCTGTCTGATGGGACTCTCCTAGACACTTCAGACACAAGTCGTGCGGATCACTCGTGGGCATAGGCTTAGCGCAGGACACGTACGGCTTAAAGCCAGGAGCCTTGGGCATGAGCCCGGCTATGTGCCGGGGGGAAAAGGGGGGAGAACAACCCCCTTAACCCCCGCTAACTATTTACAACTATTAAAAAGTAAGATGAATAACTATCTAACACTATACAACAAATATAACTACAACTATCTACAGAAATAACAGGATAAGCTAGGGAGAGTGGAGAACAGCTATGCACAGTTCCAACGACCGTCAGGGGTGGTAAGAAGGAACTGAGGGGGCGCTGGGTTGGCTGGGGTATATATCCAGCGCCATGAAGGCGCCACTCCAGGGGGCTCCACAGCCGACCCACTGGGTGTTGCTAGGGTAGAAAATTCTCCGACGATCGTGCACGCGGCGCGCGCACACCTAATTGGAATCGATATGAGCAAGCACTCGAAGAAGAAAGATTAAAGATTGATAGGCCTTGTGATTTTATCCCAGCTAATCTAACTGTAGATGTCAGTCATATACATGCATTTACTCTAGCTATGAAATGTATCCATCTGTTTGCCTCAATGTCCTGCAGCAGAGAACTCATCAGGAAACTCATATATTGCATCCTATGTAGTTCTTAAAAGAACGTCACTTCAAAAAAGATTATTTCTTAAGTATTTTGAAATGACATGTCTTTTAATCCAGTGCCTCCTGTGCTTGTTTTATGAAAAAGGGTAAATAAGAATAACTTTAAATTTGTAAATGTATCCCGAAATATCTCCACTGAATTCTTTACAACACTGAAACACACTCACCTTTGGAGCAGGAAGTCAGAGCTGTAAAAGTGTACAGCAATACTAAACAAGAGTTTAGGACAGAAAGTTCACAAACAAATGAACTACAGAAAATGTTGCTCTCATCTGCATTTTTCATTCTTTTATAGGCTTCAGTCTGAGCTCCTTCCTAAACCACATAGCCACCCAAAAGTTCATGATTTCTGACCTCTTATTTGCATCTTTGTTTTGGGGTTTTGTAAGGCTTGTGTCCTCCCTTCCATTCCCAAACAGAACAATGGCCAATAATCTATGCCTTTATGAGACAGCTCCGTGCAGTGGGTAGAGAACCAAAATGGGACCCAAGAGACTTGAGTACTATTCCTGGCTCTGTTACCGACTTGCTGCATAACCTTGGGGAACTTGGAACCTCTCCATGCCTCCACCGCCCAACTGTCACATAATGGTAACGTTTGCAGTGGTGCTAAAGCTGTGTTGGTCCCAGGATATGAGCGACAAGGTTGTTGAGGTAATATCTGTTATTGGACCAACTTCTGTTGGTGAGAGAGACAAGCTTTTGAGCTACACAGAGCTCTTCTTCTTCTGACCTGAGGAAGAGCTTTGTGTAAGCTCAAAAGCTTGTGTCTCTCACCAACAGAAGTTGGTCAGATAAGGATAATGACATTTTGCCCACCTTGGCAAAGTGCTTTGAGACCTACCAATGGAATATGCAAGGTATGTGCAAAGCGTTAACATTCTCTATTGGGATGCTACAATGCCTGTTACCTAGGTGAGCAATCACCTAAGGCTCTCAAAAGTGCTCAAGCAGGCATCATCTCTTGCTCAATATAGAGTCAGCCCATGTACACTGCATATTGCTCTGCCCCCTTCGGAGGACAGCCTGGTGCCTACTTCCACTCTCAGCTAACCCTGAGGACTCACGTTCTCCGTTCCTGCTCCCATTTCTCAATACGCTCACTGGGTCCCCAAATTTGTCAGAAATTTGCTCTGCCCAGGAGTTGCTATGCAAAAATAGGAAGTAACACTCACCCACGTGAGACCGACACCTGGAGGTTATAGCAAGGAAGCAGGGGCTTGTCTGAGAACTCAAACATGAAGCTGTCTGATTCTTGCTCCTCTTCCTCCTGATCAGAGCTTCCGGGAGGGTTGAGCAGAAGGTCGCACCCAATCCCATCCTTCCCCTCTGAAACAAATAAATTAGGTGTTGGCATCTCCCATACTTTCATTTTTGCTGGTGCACAGTGTTTCCCTAGGAACAGGGGAGGGGATGGAGGGAGGAACAGAAAATGTTCAGCACCAAGAGTGAAGCTCAGAGTCCCTGGGCAGGAATCTGGGCTTGGTGTCTTACTGCACATTTCTGCTCCCAGCCCACTACAGCTGGTGTTCCAGGTCTCCAAAGAGGAGGTTTCACCTGCTATATTGTGATCTGTGTCACAAAGGTACCACCAGACAAATGAAACTCGCACTGCTGGGTGCAAACTCTTCTGGAGGAACACAGCAACCCACTGCCCTGAACAGCCACTGCTAGAAGCCAGGCTTCAATTGGACGTGTCTTTACTTTAGTGCCAATGTATGTGCATCACAGGCTACCAGATCAATGTGGCATGACCGAGAAACCAGTCTGCAGGGAAGTAGGGGGTACATGCGACTCAGAACTGCAGTGCACCAGAACTGCAGGTCAGAAGTGAGGGGTGCTAGCAAAGGGGCATGTGGAGGAAACTGGCATGTCTGCCCAAACTGCCCAGCTCTACCCAGTGCAACTAGCGTCTCACCTGCACAAGTACAAAATACCACAACAAATTCAGAAACAAAAGCCAGTTGAATCTCACACTTCCCGTCCACCCCAGCATCTCCCACTGGAAGGGCTCAGCCGCAGGGATTGCCCAGTAACTCCCTGCCATGATCTGAATCAAATGGTAGACTTGGGAGAACCAGCTGAGTTCCTCCCAGAGCTCCTTCTCTCGTCCCTCCCTGCAGTGCTGGCTCAGGACTGTTCAGTCAATAACATCTTTCCTGAGCCCATGCCCTCCAGCCATTACTAGACCAGTGCCACCAGATTCTGCCTGAGCCTCTGGCCCAGTCCCGTGGTTCAAGCTGGAGCACTGCAGTGGGCTGTGTGCAACAGACAGCTGATTACTCAGCAGGACAAGTTGCAGTGGTGACTCTGTCCTGTGGCTCTTGAAAAGCTGGGAAAAGTTACTCTCCTTACAGTAACTATGACTCAGATGTTTTACCCCCACAGATCCCATTCTGGGCCCTATGCACATGAGATACTGCTGGCCAAAAGAGCTATATCTGTTGGGGCCACTCATGCCCCTGCATGCCCTCAAGCCCCTTACCCGAGGACATAAAGGGCTCAGTGGCCCCAACCTCCACTCTGTTCTTTCACCAATACAGAATCCCCAAGGCAAAGAGACTCCACAGTCGGGAAGGGAGCGTGGATGGTGGGATCTGTGTAGACAAAGCATCCCAAAGAACCAGTTACTGTAAGGCAAGTAACCATTCTTTCTTCTTTGGGTATTTGCCCACATTGATCCCACTTTAGGTGACTGGCAGGCAGCTGTCGCTCTAAGGTGATGGGTGCCAGGAGTCCTATTTGAATAAAATCTGTAAGAATGCCATGCCAAACTGTGTATCAGATCTAAAGGCTGACACTAAAGAACAGCAGTTTATAAAGGAATGTATGGAGCTCCAAGGAGCTGCTCTACAGATTTTGAGTACAGGGATGCCTCTTAAAAAGGCTGAGAAAGTTGCCTGAGCTCTTTCAAAGACTTTAAGGTCAGAAGGGACCATTATGATAATCTATTCTGACCTCCTTTATGGGGGGAAGGAATAGCTCAGTGTTTTGAGCATTGGCCTGCTAAACCCAGGGTTGTGAGTTCAATCCTTGAGGGGGCCATTTAGGGATTTGGGGCAAAAGCCTGTCTGGGGATTAGTCCTGCTTTGAGCAGGGGGTTGGACTAGATGACCTCCTGAGGTCCCTTCCAACCCTGATAGTCTATGATTCAGTTCACTAGAAATGCTTATGCAGTCTGACATCCATTTTGAGAGTCTGTGTCAAAACAGCCAGTCCTCTGGACTTATCACCAGAAGATAAATTGCCTGGGTGATCTGTGCGATGGTTTTGTCTTCTTGAGGTAATATAAGATAGCTCTTAAAATATCGAAGCATCTGCAGGGGACGAGTGAGGTCTTGGAAAGAACACTTGTAAGAGAATAAACTGATTAAAGTGAAAGACCGAGAGCATTTGAGGCAGAAATTTAGAATGAGAATGGAGAGTAACTGTCCTTATGGAAGGTGGTCCTACCATCGGTGCTTGGATTTTTACTCAGTTTGCGAGTAGAGCACCAATATAAGAATGTTGTCTTAATAGACGAAACACAAAGAACAGGACGATGTAGGTTGAAACCGAGGCTCTGAGATAGGAGTACTACATGTATGTCTAAGGGAGGGGAAAAAATCCTTAACACACAGAATAGCCCCTTCCAAAATTTGGTTACTGGAGAACCAGGAAAAAAAATGCATCCCTGTATTGGTGATATTGCTACTGAGAGAACTTAACAGAACTTCTGGAGAAACCTGAAAGCTTCAATGACAGACAGGTAATCTAGGAGGATAGGAACAGACACCCACAGGAGGAAAGTTACGGTGGGAAGCCCATACTGAAAATGTTTCCATTTGGCCCCATAAGCCTTGAAGAATTTTGGCTCTGAATGAGAATGTTCTGTACCTCTGCTGAGCAACATCTACCTTCAAGCTCAGCCAGAGAGCCTACAATCCAGTAGATATAGAGACACTGGATCTGGATTTAGAATAAGATCTTAGTCCTGGGATATTATGTCCAGAGTGACTGTTAGCTTGAATTGCAGTTGAATCAATAGATGTACCATCTCTCAGTACAAAAATTGTCATGCCCATGCCAGGACTATTAAGATGGCTTGAGCCCTGTCTAGTTTTATTTCCTTAAGAACTCTGTGCATCAGAGGGATCGGGGGGGAAAACCCTTAGAGCAGATTCCTGTCCCAATGAATCAGAAATGCATCTGAGAGGGAGCCCGGACTTCTTCCTCCCCTGGAGCAAAGCATGGGACATTTGTTGTTTAGACTGGTTGGAAACAGATCTATGATGGGAAGGGCCCACTTCTGAAAAGTTCTCAAAAGAACTGAGTCCTTGAGGGAACATTCATAGGAAAAGAACATTTTCTACTGAGTACATCCATTGCATTATTTTGGAAGTCAGATAAGAGTAGGGCTACGAGATGGACATGATGCTGAACATACCATTCCCAGAGGAGAATGGCCACTAGACAGAGAGGGGGATATTTTGCTCCTCGTTGCCCGTTCACAAAGTGCCCCACAGTAGTACTGGATCAAAACATGCACTGGTACCCTGAAGCAGAGGTAGAAATGCTCTGCAAATTGGACAAATGGCCTCAAGTTCTAGTATGTTTATGTGTAGTTGGGATTCTGTAACTGGACCATAAGTCTTGGATTAGCAGATGAGTTAGCTGTGCTCTCCCCAGCCCTGTTTGGAGGCATTTGTCACCAGACTGTTTGTGGGATTTGGAGATGCAAACATCAATCCCTAACAGCCATTCTGATGAATTCTACGAGATTAGTGCTGAAAACATGCTCTCACAAGAGCAGTCCCTGAAAAAGGATGGGTTGGAGGGCAGGGATTAGGCACGGATTGGAATTGTATCTCATAGCCCTTCCGGATGATTTCGAGACCCAGCAGTCAGTAATTGCAGCCAATGCATCAGAGAGGCAAATGCCAAATGGAGGGAAGAAATGCCTGATTTGGTCCAGGCATTCAACCATGGCATCAAACTTGCTGCCTTGGGCCTGCTGTGTTGTGAGATGTTACAGCAGAACCCCTTTGCTTCTGATAATAAGGCCTCCTCTTAAAGGTTTCTGATGGTCCCTGGTGTTAAAAATAAGAGGAAGGAGGCATCTATCTCACTTGGTGCTGTGGTTTGAATGGTTTCCTTCTTTGGGATGGGGTGTAAAGGCCTAGGCAATGACGCATCAGTTTGGAATCTTTCAATGAGTGCAATGCTTCATGTTCTTTAGAATTAGAGAGGCCACGAGCGTCAAAGGGTAAATCCTCTATTGGGCTGTCTGGAGCCCAAACACTGTACACATAGTGTCTGCAGTTACCATTGATCTTGTGACAGTGTTGGAGGCATCAAACGCAGCTTGAAGAACCACTGTTGCAATTAGCTGTCCCGCTAAATATAGAAACTTAAGTTCAACCCTAGAATCCTGTGGAATTTCACGCAAGAACTGGTAGACCATCCCTCTGGAGACAATCATACTTGGGTAGCAAAACCTGGCAGTTTGCAATACCGGCTTGAAGGCTAAGCAAGGAATAGACCTTCCTCTCAAATAGGTCCAACTTCTTTGGGTCTTTGTCTCGAAGAGTAAAGCTTGGCTGACTGGCTGCTGCCCATGCACAATGAACCTGAAACCAGGTGAGTATAAAGTTCTCAGAGCCTTTACTTGGAACTTGAAAGCAACAGCCTGCTCTTTTGGAGGTAGCTGTGATGGAGGCCAAGGTCTGCCAAAGGGCCCTGGCTTGATCGAGAATGCCTCCATTAATGGCTGTCACCAAACAGCCTTCATAAACAGTGTGCAATAGAATCAAACATTCTATGTGACCATTCTTGTAACACCTGAAGAGGAATTTCTAAGGTGTCAGCGATCCTCTTCAGAAGGTTCTGCAAGGCCTTAAAGTCCTTGACAGTGCAAGGTACCCTAAGGCTTAATAACTTCTCCTTATGAAGAAGAAATAGCTAATAGAACCAAAGGGTCACCCTAGCAATCCAGGTTATCTCTTCATTCCAGAATTCTTGAACCAGGTGTTGAGAAGCACTTTGTGGGGTGGATGAGATGGTTGTGATACAGATAAATCTCCTAAGGTGGATCTAACTACAGGAGCTTTAGAAGAATATGGAGTGAATGGAGGTGTGGGCTCCAGGGAGGTCATATGGCCAGGATTGCATCCCATATGGCATATGGGGCCAAGAGGGAGGGATCCAACAATTCTGAGATCTTCCTGAACTGTCTTGTATGAGAAGAACAACATCTTGAAACTCTCTTCTCAGGGGCTCCTTCACAAGTTGACTGAGGAGAAAAGGAGGCAGCGCTAGGCGATGGACTTCTGTTATAGATTGAAAGTGATGAGAAGGTAGAAGAATACACCTCTTCTGAAGGAGGTGCTGATCTTTGTGGAGTTGAGGAAAACTGTGGAGAACCTGATACTATGTGATGCCACATTGAAACTGAAACCGAAGATATTGGGTGCAGTGAAATCTTCATTACTGGAACTCTTGGCTCCAGTATCAATGAGAGATTTATTGACAAGGGAGAATTATCAAGCAGAGGAGATACCAGCTCAGGTCTCCAGATATGCTGAAAACAGCTGACTTCAAGATCTGCGATATTGATTGCATAGATACTGGAGCAGAAATTGTCACCAATGCTGGTCTTTTGCCACTGCACAGTGCTGGAACAATTTAAGTGAGCGACACAGAAGATGACACCCAAGATAGACGAAGTGGTGGTAGCTGATGTGGACTGGTGCTGAATTGGTACCAGAGTTGTCGTAGCCAGCAGGTCAGGATTTAGAAGACAGAGCCTGCACTGAGTCAGATGAGGGGTATGTTTTCACTCTGTTTTTAGCTAGTATTGGGGATCGTGATAAGTGCCAGGACAGTTTCAGATAAGTTTTTTTTTCCTGTCACGGGCAGCAGGAGCCACAGACTCACCTGAGGGGATCTGTGCCAGATAAATGCCTTTGATAAATGCCCAGTCTTTCTGAACACAAAGAGACTTGAGATCTGGGAGCAACCTTACAAATAGAAGCAGCACTGACTTAATGCTGTCATGGAGTGGTGGGGGCTTCTTTCTGCCAAAGGATCTCAGAATCAGACCCTCTCTTCATGGAGTAATCTAACAAAAATAATTTTAAATGTGCATCTCTAGCCTTTGGAGTTTGTGTCGAAAAAGATACACAAATCGAGCACTAGACATTTAAAATACCCATCATTTAAAAGAATGGCTGCTTCGCAGTCTGGGCATGACTTAAAGCCTAGAGCCTTAGCCTCTGCAGTACCTTGCAAAACTCCCTGAAGGAATAAAAAGGTTTTGTCGTCTTTATTTTGCTAATGGACTACCAAAACATTAACTATAAAAACATCATCTGCACTAAGAGTAACAAGACGTTACAGATACAGGGTAGTGAAACACACTGAGGCAGTTCTACCTTGCTGCCATGGTCAGCAGGAAGGAAGTGAGTTGTGGCTGGGGCCCCTTGCCCTTTATGCCTTCGGAGGAAGAGCTCAAGAGCATGCAGGGTACATGCATAGCCCCAACTAACGCTGGACAAAAGAAGCTAATCTCATGCTCATGGGGTACATGTGACCCTAGATTGGGATCCGTGTGGACAGATATTTGAAGAAAAAGTCCCTTTCAGGAACTAGTAGATTCTTGAGTCAGTGATTGGTGTGAAACTACAGCAGATCACATGCCAGTGAGGGCTTCCTGCTCATTTTCTCCTTCTATACATGGGTTGGGAGGGAGGCCCACAGGCTTAGCAAGTCCCAGCTTGTGTGACCGTTGTCCAGTCCTCATTCAGCAGCCACACCACACTCTGCCCTGCAGGGGGAGATATAATCAGCTGAACTTACCCAGAACAGAGCTGCTGTAGAAATCCCATGTTGTTCGGGGGTCCCCATCAGCACGCCCTTGGAGATCCGAGAGGTAATCTGCAAGAGGAAAGCAAGGAAGGGAGGCACCCATAGAGCAGCTATACAACATTCTCATCCTTTCATCAGCAAGGCTCTTGGGGGAAGCAGCAGAGAGCTGAAGTGACTCACTCCTCCCTGCAGCCCAAGGCAATGGTAGACAAGGGACCACAGTTCATGAGGAATATGTCCTCCAACCTCCAAAAGGGTGACCAGGGACTGCGAACAGGAGAAAGAAAGTGTGTGTGTGTGGGGGGGGGGGGTAGAAGAATAACTCTAGAACCCATTAGAGTTAAGGTAATAGCTATTTGGAAGGGGTGGTTCCAAGCACACACACAAGAATTTAGTTAAGTCTAGAGGAGCACATGGGCACAACTTTCCAAAACCACAGGAATACAAAGGTACCTATCATCTTGAATCTACTGAGGAACAAAAAGGAGCTAAACGGAGTTTCAGGCAACACCTGTGTCATCCTGTTACAGTTACTTTTTTTAACTGTTTTTCTCTGCCTTGCTTCTGTGCAAGACCCATAACAGGAAAATAGCAACACCAATTCCACACAAATAGCACAGGAAGCAAACAGACATTTTACTCTAAGCGTGCAGTCACAGTGACCTGAAGCATTATTGCTAACAATGGCAGGTAAACACTCTTCAGAGGGAGTAATTTTAGAATTGAGAACATCACTTCTCAGCTGCAAAAGTGTGTGTTAATGGAGCATTGAAGTTGCATAGTAAAGGCAAGAATTGCCAGTTAGGTTTGAACACACATCAGCTCTGCCCTGCATTAGGATACTACCTTTAGTTACATGACACAGGTTCTTGCAGATGGTTTTGTGTCTATGATTGGAGAAGGATTCATATCCTATATTGTAGTATTTGAGAAACAGTATAGACTGGACTGGGCACCAATGTGCACCGGGGCAGAAGTATGTTTATTCAATCCACCTTTGCTCTGGCATCCTCTGATGACTGAGTGTCTAACTATGGCCCCTGAATACTGCCATGCAGTTTTGTGTTTAACACCTACAGCTTGTAAAGCATTTGGGTTCTTTTGGGGTGGAAGGTACTCTGTATAAACATCAAATCATTACCATGCCCCACTTACCGCTCAGGAACCGCTTCATCACCTCACTGCTGGCCAGTTTCATGGCTGTCTGCCCCGAGTAAGTGGCGAGTGTGGGGTCAGCCCCATACGAGAGCAGAAGCCACATGGTCTCCAGGTTGTCATTCACCACTGCATCATGGACAGGCCTGGCAAAGGACAAGAGAGTTACCAGAGGAAAAGGAGGTCTGTGCAGTCCACAGAACAAACAAACAATCTGCTTTTTGCTAGATGGCTATACTGCCAAAGGTTGGCTAGTGACACTGCCTGAAAGACTCCCAGACCCACAGCCCTGGCAGCTGCTGTCTCGCTAGCTTCTGCCCCAAACTCTCTGGGCTAGTAGTACTGGGAGCTAGCTTGCCTTGTGCCATCCTGTGCACTGCAGTTCACATTGGCACCGTGCTCTAGCAGAATGTGCAGGATGTCAATCCAGCCTCGTGCGCAGGCTTCGTGAAGAGCTGTGTAGCCGGCATTGTCACGGTGGTTCACCTCGCTGCTCTTTTTCTGCAGGCAGTAGAGCACCACGTCCTGGAGGAATGACATCACCAGAAGCCTGGTTACACAAACCACAAGAGAGGGGCAGGGCTCCCGAGGTACTCAGCAGCAAGCCCCAGCAGAAGGGGGTGGGTAAAAGCTGTTCTCGGCCCAGCACTCACCTTGTAGCCAAGCCGTGCTGCTCGCTGAAGGAGAGTCTCCCCAGCATTCTTGTTCACGATCAGCCGCCGAGCCTCAGGAGGGATGTGCTGGGTCATGGGCAATTCAGGAGAGTTTCCTGGGCTGGCCTGCCGTGACTTGCAGAGCGGCCACAGCTCCTGGGGCTTCTTCAAAGAGCGTGGCTTGGACTGATTCCAGTGCCCTTTCACCTGGAAAATACAGATGGAGGGAGCTTCCTCAGCATAGCCAGACAAGGCTGGGTCCAGATATTCCCTCCCCCCCTACACATGCTGGGTTGATGATCCCCCTTCCCTAGGCCTGGATCGTACCTTCCCCTCTTCACAGATCCCTGCCAGATGTTTTGTTTTACATTTGCGTTTTCCTGATGGTTTCTCAAGTGCTTCCTGGATGGAGGAGTTGTCCGGGTGATCCAGGAGAAAGCCATTTCGGAAGTCTGGGCGACCTTGGGACTTCCGGGGCGATGGGGAAAGCCTGCTCCTCAATCGCAGCTCTGAGCCTTTGCCCTGGGTACATTCCTTCTGCTTCCGGTACCTGAAATCTAAGGAGAGACAGGGTCCACAGGATGCGGAGACAAAGACTAGGGGCCCGACTTCCCTCTGTGGGTAAAGAACAGTCAGCCCCTGCAGGACTTCATTGGCCACATCTGGCAGCTTGGGCCAAGGTCCACCAAAGCCACGGTTACTCTGCCTAGAAGCAGAGTACAGGAGAATAAGGGTATACGGAGATGAACACAACACATTGAAAATGAAAGTGCATCAGTGGGATGCATGATGACAGAACGCCTTACTGGTCTGACCCTATGCAGGTCTCTAAGCTGAGCAGGCGTGGAGCTGGTTACACACTCACTTGGATATTCCATTTCTCCAGACAACGCGTGCCTGCTATTCTGCACTGGGACAGTACTCAGGAGAACAGAGTCTGATTTCTCATCCTGTTGGCATGTTCTCCAGTGGTTTAATAAAGGCATTAACAAAATCAGTATCCTGTAGCCATACTGCCAGAGGGTGTGATCTATTCAGATCTTGGAAGCTAAGCAGTGCTAGTGAGACACAACTAAGGGGAAAATAGGGAATCCTCTTAACCCCAGATGGCAGCTGCTATTCCACTTCCTGTACTGCTGTCCGTGCTGCCTTTTCAGTGATTTTTCTTATTTCTTCTTCTTAAGTGTAACATTAAGGCTGATTTTACATACACAGAAGTAGGGACATTCTGAGCTAAGGTTTCTCAATGGAAATGTGGACTCTTCCCTCCTACTATGAAATACAGGGTTGCTTGTTACAGAACCCCATAACATCAGGCAAGGACATGCAGTTTTATAACACCCAACAGTGAGGGCACAATTATAAGTGGAAGATATTAAAGTATGTGATGAGAAAATAAAGCCCTTGGGTGCAAAGAAGGTGAGAATAAAACCCCTGTGCACTGAGCAATGCACAGGCATTTGCAGTGCTGGCCCTTTTCCAGTGGGTAGAGATTAACAATTGCTTTAAAGTGGGCTGCAGGGAAACATGGTGACCCTATGTTGCCTGCAGAGTACTATTGGACTGCCTGGGTTAAAGGCTAAGCCTGAGGAGAGTCTGAGTGCAGGGCAAGGGAGTCACTTTGGATAAGTCACTTTGCTTCTCCACTTCTGCTCCATGGAGACAAGGCCACCTGCCTCCCAGGGGAATGCATGCACATGACAGTTATGTAAGGGCAACACAGGTGCAGTTCATAATTATAATTCCATAGGTAACATTTTCTCCTCCTACTTTGCAAAGAGATGATGGTTCCTCCACAGTGAAGGTTGCAACCAGCTGCCCCCACCAGCCTTATGTGAGTGGCCTCCAGCCCCTCCATCAATAACTTCGCTTGGAAACAATGGTTTGGCCCAAGTTGCCAAGCAAAGGACAAGTTTTCTGAAGAAAACTGGTCAAACTGCTCTCATCCATTCAGAAGGTGGTCTGGCTGCAGGCTACTTGACTTTCCCAGGCAGCTCCATCAGGCTCTCTCCATCACAAGTCATTAGTAGCTCCTGCAGTACCTCAAGGGCCATGGTAGTTCTTTCTCCCCTGCCCCAATCCCAGGTTTACACCCCTGGACATTCCAGCTGTATCATTCCCAGGAGCAGGTGGCTGGCTCACTCCCAGATTCATCATGCAGCTGCTGATAAAGAAGAGGCCCAAGAGCGGGAGCAGTTACTGTGCACTCCAAAGAGGCACTCCCCCCAGTACAATCACAGCAGCATTCTCCTGCCTGATAACAGCAGCCCCACAACAGGAACATATGAGCAAAGCCAGAGGGTATCAGCAGAGCAATGTACACACAAGCCAGGCCGTTATGCAGCTCCAGAAGCTGACAAAATTCACTGATTTCCAAAAGCTTCACAAACACCTCCACAGCACGGAAAGGAAGAGCTGGCCTGCAAAGCAGCAGACATCTCAAAATGCCCAGGAAAGAATCGGGGTGTGTGTGTGTGGTGGGGGGGGGGGGGGAGCACGAGTGGCTACCTAGACTCAGGAGGATCTGCGTCACTGGCTGAGCCACAGGTGGAAAGCTCAGGAGATGGTGAATGGAGAACTGGGGCCTGGAACAGGAGAAGATGGGAGGGGAACAACTGCAGCTTTCTATTACAGCCCTGAATGTGCACTGTGGGAAAGGATTCACCCCACAGATCCAGGCATTTTGCCTGGCTCTGTCACACCCCCTGGCTCCCAAGTCACCCTCTCTCTTAGGCGCCTGCTGGACAAAGCTTCCCCTGCTCCCTTTCATAAGCCTTAGAGCTTACTTGTGTATAAAGACAAATGGTTAGCTGTATGTGTAAAAGACAGTCTGAACTGTAATGGCCTCAGTTCCCTCTACTCCTGTCAGGCAGGCACTACCCTTGGATGCCTCTCCCTAGGGTCCACATTTACCCAGCGCAATTATACTGGGCCTCCTCCTTCCCTGCGCCCAGCCCAGCCTATGACTGTGGAGTGAGGTCAGTACCCAATTAACTCTGCCACATAATTTGGGGTTCCCTGCCCCATCATTTACAGTAATTATCCTGTAAAGGACAGGTGGCCCATCGCAGTGGCAGCACAATGGGGGGAATGGTCCCTGAACAGCAGTACATGCGGCCCATTGCCCATAGGATTGGAGCTGATGCTCTGGTTCTAAGCCAGAACTCTAAGAGCAGTGCTGGAACTGGCTTGGAAGAGGTCCTGCAGAATAGCCAGCTGGGCCAAGACCCTTCCCCTCTGCCAGTGCTGGTACCTGCTTTCGATTTCCGCCTCTTATGGGAGTAGCAGCTCACATGTTCCTCCTCTTCCCGCTCAGTCAAGTACTCCCCAGTCTGGTATTTCCGGCTCTTCTGCCGTCTCCTCTTCTTCCTCTTGACATGGCTGTCGTCGTCATCCTCCTCATTTGGGTCCCACAGCTGCCTTGGTGCCTCCACTCTCCAGAGCAGCTCCCGGGCCCTCCTCAGGTGGCAGCTACCCTTTTCTGACTGAGACCTGTCTCTGGCCCTGTGGCTATGATAGCGGGACATTCTGTGGGATTTCCTCAGCCTGCGGCGTTTCAAGGATGTCTCCTCCTCCTGCTCCTCCTCCAGCAGCGGTAAGATCTCCTGGCCAGTCACTTCGCACTCTCCTCTCACACTAGCAGAGGAGCCACCAACACTTCCTGCAGAGAGGACCACACAAGGTGTGTCCAGTGACTAGAGACCTCTCAACACAAGCAGAGCCAAAAGTGCCCACAAGAACACTCCCAGCTAAGAAACTGGGGACAGGACAGCCCCTCCTTAGTACCCCACAAGACCTTCCTGCCCCCAAAATTGACTGGATCATGTGGGCAGGGACATGTTCCCGCTCCCCTCACCCCCAACTCCCCACTGAATCAGTCACTAGACCAAGTTAGTAAAGTGCTCTGCTCCCATCTGCCAGGCACAGGGCTTGCAGTGCCTAGCAGACAGAACATCTCAGTCTCAGCCATACTGGCTAGCTGAATCTCCCTGGCAGAGGCTGGCCTACGGGGTCTGCTGCAATCACCAACCTGACTGACTGCGTGTCCGGCTGCTCAGCACCACTGGGATGAAGTCACGGAAATTGTTCTTGGGTTTCTTCTCAAGGTAACCTGGGAAGAGAGGAGAACCCTGAGGATTAACGCCACCAAAAAAGCTAATGGGGAATCCAGGAGCTGACAGAGGACTGCTGGCCTGGGAATGACAACACACTACATTATACCGGATCCCTACATTGGATTCTAACCTGCTGTATGTAGTGCCCAGCTCTGCAGCCCACAGCAACTCAGCTCCAGGAGAACTAGTAGCCAGATCTTCTGGCAGGCAAGGGGAGCAGAGTGCCAAGACAATGCTACAGCTTGGCTTTGCAAGGGAAGAACACTATTCAGAATTTGTAACAGTACCTTCCTCATGGCTGTCCCCACGATGCCTTGGAGATTGGAGCTCTGTCTTTGCTGGCCTCCTGCGCTTGCGCTTTACCCTGAGGCTATTGTGCTCATTCATGGATCCTGGGCCAATCCGGCTTTCTCGTTTGCTGATCTCATGCAAGTCCCCGCGATGCTTTCGCCACTGCAAACACAGGACAGATATAGGTTTCAGTCCAAGCTTCAATACAAGCATCATGTTGGGACAGCAGGAAGGGAAGGACCCCAGAATAGTGTCCCCCACTGCCAGCTGTATCAATACCTCTCAGTCCTGACCCACAGCTTTCCCAGCTACTCAGCTCCGCCAATGCCTTTCAATCCCAACCTGCATACTCTGCTATTCCAGTCATAAACCCAATGCCAGGCAATACTGAGATGCCTGGAATGAAAAGGCCCTTAGTGAGGTTCCCCAAACTCATCTCTTCACCCAGCTGCCAATCCTCTTGCTGTCCCAATGATGGGTTCCTCTTCCTCCTTACACTGCTGTCCCCTCCCCGCTTACTTTGGTTTTGACCCCCAATATTATTCTAGGAAGTACAGAGTCCCAGCACTAGAACTATCTGTGCCTGCCTCCCTCCAGGGGGCCGGTGACCCTCTTGAGTGGCTCCTCACCCACCTTCCATCCATGCAAGCTCCGGCTGCCCGACTTGCTTGGCGCCTCCTCTCCATCTTTGGCTCTGCACTTCAGTCTCTTGTGGGCCTGTTTGGCCCGCCCATCGTGTTGCCGTTTGGATTTGCAGCATAAGCTGCCTTCTTGTTTGATTTGGGCTGCTCCCTTGAGTTTGGTCTCAGGAAAGCCCTTGGCGGCGACCCCAGCTCGCAGACAAGCCCCAGAGGCAAATGGCACATCACATTCCACTTGCTCCTTCTTGACTCTGCACAGGTCCACCTGGTGCATACACTGGGGGGCCTCTGAGGCCGGTTGCTCCCGGGCCACCTCACATCCCAGCTCCTTGCGTTGACTCTCCACAGGTGCAGATGGCAGCTCACAGGCTGTTTGCAGGCTTTGCTGATTGACTACAGGCAGGTCATGTGACAGATAGGCAGCTAACACTTGGTTTTTAGGTTTTGAGTCTCCTAACTGCTTGAGGCTACAGCTCCCTGGGGGAGCCTCAGTCTGTACAACACTGTCTCTACCGGAGTCAGCCCCTGGTTCATCACACCCTTGGCTCCTGGAAGGGCTTTCTGCCTTCCCCTTTCCCCCCCTTGCATCCACAGTATTGGCCTGAAGAGATGGAGCTACAGCTATGGGGACTGGATTGATGGGCTCCTCACAGAACCTGGGCAAGGCCCTGCAGTTCTTGGCTTTGGACATGGCTTCCCATTCCAGAGACGGAAGTCTTGGCAGACCCTCTGGGACCTTGGGGACTGCCATGCCAGACTCTACAGGCTGCATGCTGGGAAACACAGGGAGCTCGCCTGCACCAGATGGCTTGGAGGGGCCACTCTGATTCAGGGGCAGCTGTCCGGTTGTGGAGATGCCAATTGAAAGCACAGGGGTCTGGTGATAGGGAGACCACCCAACAGGCAGAAGCTGGGGACTGGATGGTTTCCCATTAACTGGACATCGGGGGTAAATGCTTCCCTGACCAGGATTCCAGAGAGAGAGTTCTTTGGATTGGCACAACGAAGCCCCTGGGGCAACTCTGCCATAGAGGAACCGTCTAGCTGGGTCCTGCTGACCCTCCACACTAGCCTGGCTGCCTTTTTTCCCAGAGAGTGGCCCAACATTTCTGGGGTCTCCCTGATCGATGATGGAAATGGGCTCCTGTTTGGGGAGGTGCTGTGGGTCCCTGCTGAAGCTAATGCTGGAGTCTTTGCTGAGCAGTAGTGAGGCAGGCACTGGGTTGGCCACCCCCACGTAGGTGCCTGGAATGGTGCTAATCAGCGCAGTGGAGTTTTTCATCCAGGAGCCCTGCTCACCATTGCGCAGGAAGTCGGGAAAAATTACCAAGGGAGGGTTGGTGCCCAGGCATGAGGTGACGCTGCTACCTGCGCTCTGGGCTGCACGCTGGGACTTGGACAGGACCGTAGTGAGCACTGCCTTGCCACTGGTGTGCACCGGTGTTAGGATGGGCATGGGGGGTGTCTTGCGCTGGCTTGGCGGAGGCAGTTTCTGACGGTTGGATTTAGAGGACAGATCAAGAGGCATCTCGCAACATTCTGGGAAGGAGACCATTTCACGCTCCAGCTGTGGGGGGGACTTCAGCGGAGAAAGCGAAGTGGTGGCCCCTTGAGCAACCTGCTCTGGAGCACCAGAGGCCCTAGTGTGCAGGCCAGTACCTGGTGGGGGAGCTGCACTCCCACATGATGCTGTCAGGGAAGGCTGGCTGGGTGAAAGCGAAGAGCTCTCAATGGATGGAGAAGGGCCATCAACAGCTGCAGCAGCCTGTGTGCTGTTCCCACCTGAAGGTGAAGGGCAGCTCATCTGGTTCACCTCCACAGACACCACTTTGGAGTCTGAAGGCAAGGGCCTGGCTACGGAGAAGGTACAGGGAAATGAGCGCAGCTCAGGGGGCGCAATAATGCCTGGCGGGCCACGCTCCTGCAGGTAGGAGGGATGGACTGGGAGAGCAAGTGTGGAGGGGACCCCAAGGGGGCTTGGAAGAGGAGCCACACTGAGTGGCTGCCCACAGCTGGAGGGTGGGATATACACTAGGGGCTGGCTTGGGGCCAGAACTGCCCCGGGCTGAAAGGAGAGGGGCATTTTTTGCATAGCTGGGGCTTGAGATGTGGAAAAACACACTCTATTCAAGGTGAAGGTGGCTGGGGTGGATGCAAGGGTGTTGCAGCTGGAGGCAACCACAGGCAGCATCTCCTCCACAGGCACTCCTGCCTCTTGTGTTTCAGCATTCAGGGTGCTCTTCTCTTTCCCAGCATGTTCACTGTCTGGAGCATTGGGACAGGCAGGAGATGCATCAGCCTGTTTGTCACTGTGAAGATCTGCAGGTGTCCAGGCACTGTCAGTGCTGCTGCTCTTGGGCTCCACAGCTCCCAGGACTGCGGGCTCCAGCTCTCTGCCATCTCCCTGGTTTGCCAGAGGGCCCACCACATTATCTTCTATCACTGCTTGTCCAGCACACTCTAGTTTCGGGTAGGGTTTGGGTGGCTGCTCTTCCAGCTTGGGCCCAAGTTTTTCCTCCACACTGCTAGTTGCATCCAGCCCCTGGGCATTGCTGCCACCGCTGACTGCTGTGAGCTCCACCTGCAATGAGAAAGGGAGAAGGGACTCCCTGGAAGCTGAGCCAGCATTTCTCAACAGGAAGGGCTGCTCCCTCTCGCCGCTAGGTCTCTATGGGACAGAGAGAAGCCCACAGGAAAGGGGAGCAGTGCTGCTTCCAGGCCCTGCACTCCTGCCTTCCACAGTCTCTGGCCCTGCACACCATGCTGTCACAAGACACTCGTCACTTGGGCTCAGGCCAGGGTCAAACTCCCACACATGGCCCCTTCCATCACAATCCTTGGATCCTCAGCCCAGCCACTCTGTACAAGAAGCTCACCTTGGAAAGGCTGCTGCTGACACAAAATTCCTGGGACCCCAAGTGCTGGGAGCTGCTCTTGTTAGACTCCTCATCAGAAAGCGGGGCTCTCCTATGACAGAGATGAGACAAGACAAGGAAGGCACAATGAACCCCAGAGGCACTCTCCTAGGCCACTGTTAGCTCCGTGCTGCACACAGGGCTGAGAGTCAGAAGGGGCTTGCTGGCCATAGGGGAGTGGGGACTCTTACCCTAGAGCCCAAATCCCTGCCTCTCCAGGCTCACCCCTGTGCTGCTTTCCAAGCTCCCAAATTCAGCACAGCAGGCACACCTTGGAGAGCCAGCCAGCCCAGAGCCTAACTGCACTGCCCTCAGGTGCACAGGTAGTGGGGGCCCGGGGATCCCTCTAAAGCCAGTTCTCGGGAAATAGCCACCAGGTAATTTTTAGGCTACTGCCCCTTTAAGAAGGAGATGGCAAGCACTGGCTTAAAAGTTCCACAGCAGTTGGGAAGTGACAGTTGGCAAATGAATCTGCAGAGTGGGGGATGGGGAGACCCACAAAATGACCACTACCCGAAGGGCAGGGAGCTGGCCCATCCCCCCCTACACCAACCCCCCAGTGCTCCCCTCAAACTCCTGCCTGCCAGTCCTACCTCCCACCACCCCACGGGTGCTCCATCCCCCCCATAAACTGGCAGTCCCACCCTCCCCCAATCCTGCCCCCCAAAGCCTCCCATCTCTCAACCTGGCAGTCCCACCTTCCCCCAATCCTGCCCCCCAGAGCCTCCCATCCCCCAACCTGGCAGTCCCACCTTCCCCCAATCCTCCCCTCCCCCAACCTGGCAGTCCCACCTTCCCCCAATACCACCTCCCCAGAACCTGCCCCCCACCTGGCAGTCCCACCTTCCCTCAATGCTCCCCTAAAACTCCCCTCCCCGCTTACAGTCTCATCATCCCCCAACTCCCGCTTCTGACCACAGTCCCTCCCTCCCCCAGCCCTGCCCCATACAATCTCCCCAGGCCCAGTCCCGCCTTCCCCACACTCATTCAGAGTTCTCCCCCAGCCTCCTCATGTTCTTGTCCTGTCTTCTCCCCATTTGCACATTCTAGGTCTGCCCACCCCACAACCCCCCCCCATCTGCAACCCCCACCTTTCAATCCTGCCCTCCCCCCAGACTCACATTCCTATCCCACCCACCCTCCCAGTCTCTCTCTCACACCCACACATTACAACTGTTGTTCATTCCCCATCCACCAGGCATACTACCCCAATTCCTCTCACGTGCCCCCTCCCCCCCACAATCTTCCAGCCACACAATAACCAGTAACCCTGGTACTGGTCCAAAACCAAATCCCCCCCCCCAGTAATTTTAATTCCACACCCATCCATTATTCCGGTCTTATCCCCCCTACACTCCACACAGAACCATCTACACTTCTCACCTATAGTTTCTCTTCCCATCCGTAGGGCACTAGTGTCAGTCATGTCCCTGCTTCATAGACCCTTCAGATAGCTGCAGAGTCCTGTCACTGCTCCAGGAGCCTGAGCACATTCAGCTCTATCACTCCCCTCCAGCATCAAAGCAGGAGACACCTGGGACCTGGAGTGTGTGATTGGAGCTTTAACCCCTTATCCTTCACAAGACAGAAAGAGGGCAGTTCACTCCTTCAAACAAAGGAGTTCCCCAGGTGGAAAGTGTGAATTCAGAGTAAGGACCATGATCAAATCCAAGGAAAGGAGATATGAGGGGGAAGGCCAATGGCAACAATTGTGCACATGATATGGTCACACTGGAGAGATGCTTCTGCCTAAGTCAACATCTGAACCAGGAGCTGCTCCCATGAGAGAGAGCATGGTGCCCAGCACAGGGATCAATATCCTAGGACAGTTTGAGGCCTCACCCTAATGTTTTCTGTCTGCTGACACAACAGCCTGTGAGAGTTAACTACAGGGGAAGCCAGTGGGGGCAGAATAAACACTGTGATGCTGGTTGTCTTTTCTTTTCTCCCCTTGTGTGCTACCACAGGGATTAAGCGATGAAAACCTCCAACCCCATCGCTCCCATGTCCAGTACTGGTACTCTGCTCTCTTGGCCATCCTAAGGTTGCCCTCGAAGGGATACAACTGCTGAAGTTGTATGCTTGAGTAATGACCTTCAAGTTTACACATCCTGGTAGGGCAAGCATCCTGGTATTGGCCCATTACACCTGTTCCTTTTCAGATGCCCTCAGTATCATGACCTCATAGCAGCTCCCCCACCTCATGGCACAGCTATGTTACAAATGCAATGCCGGTCTTCCCCACACCTGCACTAGTTCCCTTGTGCTATGGCAAAAGCATAGCACCTCGCATAGGCCCCTTGCACCCTTCCCACCAGACATCATCCTTGCTGTTATTCTTTACAAACATAATTTGACATGGATTTCTTAAACCTGGATTTCCCGAGTTACTAAGGCCGCAAAAGGCTTAAGAGGATTGTTATTAATAAGGGAAGATCAGGTTTCTGCAATAGGCAGCAGCAAGATGCGAGGTGATGGGATGGGGGGGCGGCTGGAATCGCAAGAGAACGACCCTTAGAACTAATGCCTGAGATAGGCTTTTAGTAGTTTGTAAACCAGGAAAACATAGCTCAGATGCAGAATCAGGTTCCTGCTTCTTGCCCAGTTTGCTAGCCAGGACGATGGAGGCAGGAGGGTGGAACATGCCCAAGGTCAGTGAGGTAGGATTTGTAGCCAGGCCATGTATTCTACCCAGCAGAGTTTGTGAGCTACTACCCAGCAGGCATGTATGTTCTGTTACTGCCACAGAGCTGGGCAGGGATGGAACTCCCCAGCACCTCAGGTCTAAGCTGGCCTCCCCAGTGTCCTCCTGTGAGACATCTAAATTGCATTAACTGTGATGCTGGGGGCTTTTGAAAACGTGCAAGAGCGGTATTGACAGTACCAGTGTGCCCCTTGCGCCCTGCCAGAAGGCCATGAAGCTGGAGCCTTGGTATGCCAGGAAAGGCAGAGTTAAGGGAACTTTTTCGACCCTGCCCCCACTGAAATGCTGAGAGGTGCCAAAAACCTCATGGCCCTTACCCCATCCTCAACTATTGTCCCGTGGGATCTCTGCCAAAAAGCAGCACAGGCCTTGAGCCCAGGGAGGCTCTGGAGTTGTTGGATGGGATAACTGAAAGAGCAGAGGTGTTAGAGAGCTGAGACCTGGGCCAGGCAGCCATCTCCGTGACAACAAGCTGGATAACTGGCACAGAGAGCTGCCTATGCACTATGCAGCAGAGCTGGGATCCCTGCTCTGGCTCCACCTCCTGCTCCAACGCCAATCCCGCTCCCCTCGGAGACAGAGGCAGGGACATGGCAAGGGCAGCAGGTGGAGCTAGAGCGCAGTTCCTGGCCCTGCAACAGCCCAGGCAGCTTCAACAATCAGGCCCAAGCGAGGGATTGAGCTAGTCAGTGAAGCCAAGCAGCTCCGGCATCCTAGGGCTCCAACAGGTGAGGGCAGCCTGCCTGCCAGAAGGGCATGTCCAACATCCCCCCTTGCCCCTCTCCCCCACACAGGAGACCACCATCCCGTTCAAGCTGCCACAACACCATTCCCCCTGCCTTGGAGGGGAAGTGATTCCCTTCCCCCAGGGCAGCACCTGTCTCAAAAGGCTCAGCAGATCAGTACACCCAGGCTGGTGATGCACAGGTTAATTGTTGGCTGGGAGCTCAGGCAAGGAGGTGAGCTGGCCACTCAGCTTCTGAGACAGCCTGAGGGCAAGCACCCCCTCTTGCTCCTGCCACTGTCTCAAAAGCCAAACTAGCAGCCTGCTCTTCTGAAAGCTAATAGAGATGCAAACTACATTGTTTGTCATATTGCTGGGGAGGGGAAGGAGGGGGAAGTACAGTGACTCTGGTGCAGGCAAAAAGGGCCAGAGTCAGCCCCGGAGACTGAGGTCTTCTCCTTAGCCCCAGAGCACATACAACCTGGGCAGTGGAGGAACAAACTGCACCCACACTGCTCACTGCCAGCGTTCCTCACCCTGGCCTTAGGGAAGCCACTTCTTGGTACAGAGACAGCTTAGGTTCCATGGTCCCTTAGCCTCTGCACTGAGACACAACCAGGAAGGGAGCCAGCTGGGACAGTGATTTCTGTGATGTGAAACCTTGTCCAGGAAGGAAATGGAATGAGTGTTCCTCCAAATGATTATCCCCTCCCACCCACCCACTTTACGTAGGGGCCAACAACTGGTTTAAAAAACAAAACAAAACAAAACAAAAACCACACCACCATTCAGTTATGATCAACCTGGTTTGTCGGTCTTGATTTAATCTTGTATTTGGGCTGTTTGGTATTTCTGTTAAGGTGCCTAGACCCCTCAGTGCTCAGGTGCCTGAAACACTGAAATTTATTAGGATCAAGAAGTAGGCCTGCATAGTCTTTATCAAGGGGTAACTAAGCTGAGAGGCTGTACATTACTTGCCAAAATCTCCCTTACCCCACTGTTCTTCCGCCTATCTGTTGCAGCAGTTATCAGCATTCCTAATGCCTGAGACCCTACCATCCCAAATGCAGGACAGTCTGCACCACACACAGCTCATTTTAGTCCATATAACATGACCTTTCAAACCCTCCTAGAGCGTTTGCCACAGCTGAAAAAGCTCCACTGCATCCTGGCACCAGGGAGGCCACAAGCTGGCCACTTCTGAGCACAACACCTGAGAACTGCAGGATTAGATAGGTGCTAATGCTGTTGGTTCAGAGGGGACTGTCAGGGCAAGGAAATGGGACAGGTCAGGACTCCTGGAAGGAGCAGGTCCTGACCAACAGCTAATCTTCCCTAGTCCCTATCCTGTGGTGTTCATGCAACTCACCTATCCAATCATCTAATCCAGTGGCTCTCAACCTTTCCAGACTACTGTACCCCTTTCAGGAGTCTGATTTGTCTTGTGTACCCCAAGTTTCACCTCACAAACTACTTGCTTACAAAATTAGACATAAAAATACAAATGTCACAGCACACTATTAATGAAAAATTGCTGACTTTTTGTCTGTATGAAATTTTAGTTTACACTGACTTCGCTAGTGCTTTTTATGTAGCCTGTTGTAAAAACTAGGCAAATATCTACATGAGTTGATGTACCCCCTAGAAGGCCCCTGTGTACCACTAAGGGTACACATACCCCCGGTTGAGTACCACTGATCTAATCTGCACTGCCCATGCAAACGTACTGGAAACACTTCTCAGTTCCCTAGCCTGTACTGTCCACGTAGCCCTCTTCCCAGGTCCCAACCTGTCAGGCTCTATGGCAATCAGCTGAGAGCACAAATCCGACAAAGTCAAAGAGGAAAGGTACCGCGGGTAACAACAACGCCATGAGCAGCCTTAACACCAGGGTAGCAAGGCAACAAGCAGCATCCTGGCGCCATACAGCTGGTGGTTCTTGCCCAGAAAGCAGAGAGCCTCCAGTATCGTTCCCCTGCAAGCATTAGACCCTTTCTTTTCCTTGGGCATGGAACACAAGGACCATAAAGGAGACATGACTGCCTAATGCATCCTTGTCCTACCCCTGTGCTCCTTATGAGCTCAGCCCTGAAGCAATAGGCTGATCCTGCACTAGCCCCAAAGAGAACGACTAAACAGGATTCAGTATGCTTTCTGCTTCTAGCCTCTCCGATTCCCTGACCCAAGCTCCCTGCTTAAAGTCTTTCCCCTAACAAGCCACCCACGCACCTCACCTCTCCTCGTTGAGGCCACACATGCAAATCCGCTCTGCACTGGTCCAGTTATGCACCCCACTGTAGAGAGGTGCTGTAGAGATCATGACAGCTGCTCACCACTAACCAGGACCTGCTGGGGCTCACGGGGCCACTCCGCCTGCAAAGACAAAACAAAGAGTCAGAAGCTGTTCCCTGGATACTGCATTCAATTCCATTCCTTGGAGTTCTCCAACGAAGATGTGAGTCTGTGGTACAGTTCAGAGAGGTCATCTGCATGCCAGATCACTGAGAAAAGGAGAGGGCAACACCTCCTCCTTACCTGCCATCTGCAGGTTCATTTCCATGCAGCTGGGGTACATCGTTTGAGCAGCTACAAGTCTGTTTGCAAAGAGCCCTCAGGAGAGGAGTACACTCAGGGCAGGGACAATACACAAGGCTTACACTCATGCTAGGATTTTTCACCAAACCCATTCAATCTGTAGTAGGACTTGGCCTCCCCCAAAAGCGCTCTGTGCAGACACCTCTTCATCCCCCAAGAAGGTCTCCCAGACACAGCAGGCAGGCAGAAGGCAGCTTTACCCAAGACAACAGACTTATAAAACCACAGAATTGTCCAATCTTTTATATTTCTTTATCAGTCACCACCAACCAGCTCAGGAGACAATTGTACAAAGAGGAAGATGACTGTTCAGGCAATCAAGTGCCTAGGGTACACCTGCATGGAACCAACGCGGAGTATGTGTGGGGCACTGCTTGACAAACTTTGCAGGGCTTTCATCACTAGAATTTCACTTTACTATTGTTAGGAAGTGGCAGGCATTCTTAGGGGTTAGACACAGAAAGTAGAGCAGAACCCTGAGATTTGTGAGTCAGCCAAGATGCCGGCCTCTGTGATGGAATTTGTCGGGGAAAGACATGCCTGCCATTGCAGTAGTGTTGTCTCATTGAGCACTTTAAGAGCAGGGCTGCTACTTGAGTCCCATCACTCAGGAGAATGAATTGAGCTAAACAGAAATAGAGCAATGAGGGAGGGGAAGGCTCTGAAGTGCATGGCCAGCAGGAGCAGGCTAGGTTAGACTGGGCAGGAGAGATTAAGGAGGCAGTGACATTGTCAGAAAGGTTCCTGTTTCGGAGATGTTACATACATGAAGCAAAAGAGGTACAAACGGGCAGCATCCTTGGGAGAGCAGAAAGGAAATCTAAAGACAGCATGTGATCCAAAGTCTTATATAGTTTTCTCTGTCATGACATGTCAGAAGGACACAAGCTCTTGGTAGGACAAGGAGCAGTCTAGTATCTGTCCACACTGGAATCAGTTGTATAGGGATAAGACGACTAAAGGTTTGAGGAATCAGATGGAAAGCTAAAAAACTGAAGGTGTTCTCAGAACATACTGCCTGCTCATTCAGTGCCAGGTATGAACACACTTGGTACACACAGGCACAGTCTAGGTCAGTGGGGTGTTTCTGGGACTCCTTTGGGAAGCGACAAGGGCCATAGAAGCAGGAGGAACCAGAGAAATACCAGTGTACTGGCTGAGGGGGCAGAGTGAGCCACAAATGAGGGAAAGAGTTTAGATGAGCAGGCAGAGACTGCAGAGAGGAGAAGCTACCCAGAAGTCAGGAAATGAGAGGAAGCAGCAGCCAAAATAAACACACCTGGAAAGGGAAGAAATACTAAGCAATGAAACATGTACCCCCGAAAACTGGGTTGTACCCAGAAAGAATGAAAGGTCACTTGGGGTGGGAAGAGGCGGAGTCTTGCAATGGTTGGAGAGAAATGCAAGAACCCAAAGGAAATAGGGGAACAAACAATCTGCGGGGATTTCACCATCCTGGACTGAACTGAAAGAAGGGAAAGGGAAAGCATATGACAGTGAGGGTACAATGGCAGCATAGACATTTTAGGAATGCTCCAAGAGAATCTTGTGTGGGAGTGGGGAGAGAGAGACATGTACCACTGTGCTAAACAGAATGGAAATTTGGGAAGAGACTGAACTAGGAAACCTCCAAGAAAGCACTGATGGGGCAGAACCATCATGGCTTGAAATTAAAGATGCCAAGAGAGAAGGTTGATAGCAAGATTTCACAAGCAGTTACAACAAACAGCACATTTTTGAGTGTATGAGGAAGAAGAGGTCAATGATGGAACCTGCAGGGTCTCTAGGAGAAAGTTAGAAACATGTAGGGACAGAACTGACATTGTTAAATGAATTCTTGATTTCTGTTATCCGAGGAGGATGCAAGACACATGTCAAAGGCAGACATTTCCCAGGGAATGAAGAAGAAATAGGGAGGGAAATTATAATCCCAACCAAGAGAAGGGATCAAGGCATTCAAATGTAGAGACAAAATAAAACACCTGACTCAGGTGGTTTCAAACCCCAATTCCACAGGAAGCAACAAAAGAATCAGAGAACCCTCAAAAAGGTGGACTGGAAGCAGAAGATGCCAGGTGCAGAGATAACTCTATCTGAGAAACACAGGGCAGAGCCACCACTCCCTCAAGCTATTCTGGAATAACTCTGTAGATATACTCTAACTTGGGTTTATATCCTAGAGAAGACCAGGCAGTTGTATTTTTAATATGAGTTATCAGCTCAAATTTATGACTGTACAGGGATCTAGGGTTTAACTCGACCTGTTAACTCACGTTAAACTAACTGCCTTGTCTTCATTAGGATTGTAACTCAAGTCAGACAACTTGAGTTAAGAACACTTTTTTTTTTTTAATAGTGAAAACAAGCCCTGAGTGCACTCTCCCTTCTTCCTAGCAGAGGACGCATCTGCACTAAGGCCTGGTCCACATACAGTTTTTGTACCAATTTAACTATGTTGGTTGGGGGCATGATTTTCTACCAAAGCAGTTACATTGGTACAGCCCCCTACTGTGGATGCAATTATATCAGTATAAAGTTGCCTTCTACTAGTATAGCATATTCCCCATTCCCTTATGGAAATAAGCTATGCCAGTATAAGCACCCACATTAAGGATCTGTACTGCTTTAATTATACTAGTATAGTTTTTACTCACTTTACTGGTTCTACTTATACTGGTATACACACGTCCATGTATCAACAAGGTCTGAGAATTTTCGGAAATTCTCTGACCACTGCTATTGCACCAATCGGAACACTAGTGTAAAGCAGCTGCCAGCAATTTACCACTCTTTCATGCAAGTATTGCTCAGAGCAAATACCAGACGGCAGGGTGGTAAAAACACTGACAGACAGTCTACACTAGCTTTCCCACCATTGCTATCACCAGGGGAGCCACACTAAAATCCTCAGTGTAACAAAGAATTGTCTCCACTGGAGATTTGCCCAGTGGCCAGCCAGTGGTACAGGTGCACTGGTGCCATCCCTAGGGCAGACAGGCAAAGCCCCTGGGATGCAAGATTTGCACCATTACAGCACATCCTGGTTAAGTAAGGGTATGCTCCACCAGTGCCAGTAATGGCTCTGCTCGTCTGCACTAGGCACTGGGATGCATCTATACCAGTGGTTGTGACTGGTGCAAATCCCCAGTGTTAGCAAAGTGCAGGGCAATGATGTTCACTTCAGTGCCTAACTTGGACCATTTCAATGCTAACATTATTTAACAGAGCAGACTGAGAAACACACTCAGCTGGAGTTCAGGTACTTGAAGAACACTGTAAACCCTGTCTGCCTGCTGTCCCTCCTTTTCCCTCTGTGATGGGCTCTCAGCCACTGCTTTCTCTAAAGTTGGGCACCCTAGAAGTCTGCCTTGACTGGAAGGAGACTGGGAACCATCAACCTTGAAATTTTTCTTTTTGATTTCCCAGCCTGTAGCAAGAACTACTGAGGATGAGCACATAGATACTTTTTTCTTTTTTTAAGGTGTTCTACAACTCATTTGGCCAGGGGGCACTATGGAATGCCACGAAGGGTTGCACTTTGACCCTGGAAACATATGATAGCTGAGACTGGATATTGCAAATAAAATTTATGACCAAAATGTGGAATACATTAAAAAGGGGTTTCAAAACCTAAGCCCAATATGATATTTCTATTATATTTTTAAACTCCAGTGGAAACCACTGTTTTGAACAAATCAATGATCATCTATATAGGATGCAACCCAGATGCTTCTCCTGAGATGCAGAGTGGACGTGCCTATTAAAAAAAAAGTTAAACTAACTTCACTAATTTTTAGCGAAGCTTAGAGAAATGCCAAAAAGAAACAAATTGCATCAACAGTAATAATCACGTTTACTTTTTAAAAATTTCAGTTTAACTATCTTTGATACCATTAGTAACCGAGGCAAAGAATTATGTTTACCATATGTGATCTTTGAGGTGACAGAGTGCCTTTGAAGTCCAAAATAAGCACAAATCCAAAGAGCTTCCAGAAATGTCCTAACACAGGGCTTCAGCTCCACCCACATTTCATACAAACCATTTAAACTAAACTGTTTGCAACAGAACTATAAAACCCCCTTACAGGGGTTATACATGGGTCTTGAATCCAACTGGAAAAAGTTTTTAAAAATGTAATATTGAATGCACACCATATCATGTTACTTACCTTAAAGAGTTTGGAAACTGTAGCAGTGATAAAGTCATACCAATTTACAGCCAAATTCAGTCCTGGATAAGCCAGGCTACATCTACCATAGTCTTCAGTAGTAACAGTTCATGTTGCATTTGGCCTGCAGAGCAGATGATAATCTGGATCTAAACTTGGGTCTTCCATTCTGTTGCCTAGTACAACCACTGGCTACAGCTGTGCTGAGCTTGTGTGCATGTATCTGCCTGTGCCAGTTTAAAAACACACTAACTCTGATTTAAGTCATTGCAGTGACCAACATAATACACAGAAACGTTAAATTAAAAAAAATACATCCCTATTTGAACTAGGTAAATTTCCTGAAAATTTAGCAATTTTAAAAAAGTACATCTTCCCTACTGGCTAAAGCTACAGCTAGTACCCAAGTCACTGACTGCAGCCTAACAAAAAAGCCTGTCCCCGTGGAAGGCTATCACAGCAAATTCTTAAGGTGATTTAAAAAAAAAAAAAGGGGGGGGGGGCGCCAAAAAATCCACCAAAAGGTGTAAAATCTTGGCAAAATCTCTGACATCGGAAGAAAACCACACATTGCACACAATTTTACAATCTTTTTAGTTTCCCCTGCCCATGACACGATACTATCCAAAAGCATGCTCCCCCACCCCCAGTTCAGTCCTACCCCCTCAAAGTCCTCCATTAATTTATTCCTTTAAGATTTTGTCTACACTAGATTCAGTTTGCTAAAATTTCTCATAGCTGCTCTTTGCAGAGATAGTTGACATGTTGGTAAAAGTACTGGCAAAGGATCTATACTGATGGCAGCAATAGTGGGAAATATTAGGGCAAAAAGCTAATGTAGATACAGCCTAAGGCCTCAAACCTGCAGAGGGATTCACATGGGCAAATCCTTTCATCCATGCAGATCCCATTGACTTTAACGGGACACCCCTCCCATCCCCCATGGACATATAGAGCCACAAGTATAGATTCCCTTGCAAAATCAGGACCAAAAGACTATCCCAACACTTCATATCTTGATACGACCCCATAAAAGTCTATCCTGGTGCTCTCTCAAATCCACCATAAAAATCAAAGTTAAATTAAAGGAATCAATGTCCTCCCCAATAAGCCTAACTGTACGAAAGGCAGCTCTTCCCCTGAATTTGGTTATGTCTCAATATTCATCTTGAATGTAGTGTACAAGAATGGGCCATAACATCTGGGAGCCCTCTCAGCAATTCCTCACTCCAAAACATTATTAATCACACCAGGAGCAAAGTGAAAGTAATGTTGAGTGTTAGCGTGGTTTAGGGCACTGCAGTAGGAATCAGGACACCTGAGTTCTGTTCCTAATCCTGCCATTGACCTACTATGTGACTTTGGGCAAATCCCTTTCCCTCTCTGTGCCTGCTTCCCCCTTATCTTTTGTCTGTCTAGTCTACTTAGATTGTAAGCTCTTTGGGGCAGAAACTGTCTCTGAGGCCTGGACTAAACATAAGAGTTTTATTGGCATAGATATGTTGGCTGGTAGTGGGCAGGGGGAATCACATCCCTAACCAATGGATCTATGCCAGCAAAAGCTCCAGTTATAGATAGTTATACTGGCAAGAAGTTTTACAAGTATAGCTTATTTAGACTGGGGAACTGCTTTAAGCGATATCACCCAAAGGACTCCAATGCAGAAAGGTCTTACTATACATTTGTACAGTGAATAGCACAATCCTGATTAGGATCTTTAGACACTACTGTAATACCAATAAATAAATGTACTTAGTGTCACCCTCCCTTGACCAGGCCCCTCTTTGGGGTCTTGCCCGGAACAGTCCTCAATTCTGATATGAAGGCTCCTAGATGAATGGGTACTGTCCTCTTTCAACAGTTGGCTCCTGCAGCTAGGTTGGGGAGAACTGATGATACCTGGGCACCGCTGTTCTCCTCATGTAGATGGCCACTAATCTGACTTTACTTCCTACCAACCTCCACAGAAGGAAGCCCTAAAAAAAACAAAAAACAAACAAAAAAAAACCAACACATAAATTGCTAGCAGGAGACCAAACTCTGCCAACCAAGGGCAACCAACATGCCAGGACCCAGAGGACCTAATTGGCAAAATATGGAGTTGACTAGTCTCTTATCTTTACTAGTGAGGTTCTGCCAGCCTAGAGAGATTACAGAATCCACTGGGGAGCAAGATGAAGCACTACAGACTAGGACCTCAAGTCTCTACTAGGCACCCCCTATGCAAGAGATTAGGTCGCTGGGGCCATGCTGCGAAACTCCAGGAGCCACGTTATCCAGTCCCGTTGTCTAAGGAGCGAGGGGCCAGGTCCGGGTCTCAGCTGTGTAGTCCGTAGAACAACGTGCACATGCACGGAAGAGTCAGGAGCAACGCACGGAAGATTCCTACCCCACCCCCCACCCCAAAGACGGGGCTCCTCAGGTCGAGGGGATGCACTCCGGCAGCTGGGGGTCCGTCCTCCGGCTAGATCTGGGAGCTGCAGGTGGTGGGGCGCGAAGCGAGGAAGGAGCGGCGGCTACACGCGGGACGCGGAGCCCGTCCCAGGTACGTGCAAAAGAGGCAGCAGCAGCTCCCCGCCGGGATCTCTCGGTGCCCAGCTACGCCGGCTCCAAGCTCGCAGCGCCTCCGCTGTCACAGCCTCCGCGATCCCCGTCCCCACCCTCCTCCGCTCCGGGATTCGCTGCCCTCCTCCCCGTCCCACTCCGGACGCTGCTCCCCCTCCCTCTCAGCCCAAGCCCCCAGCAGCGCCCGCTGCCCGGAGGGGGTCCCGGGACCGGTCTCCATGGAGACCCAGCCGGAGGCGATAGGTCGGGCCGCTTGCTCGGCCGCTCGCTCGGTCCGGCTCCCCGGTGGTGGGTGCGGGGCGAACGGGCCCGGGGTGCCCGGGCAGCGGGGGCCGGGTGTCCGGAGCGGGGCGGTGGGGACGGGAGGGGCACACACCTGTTCCCGAGCTAGGCGGGCCGCGGCGCTGCGGGCCGAGCCGGGCCCCTGCCCGAGGCGGCGGGTCGGACACTGGGCGCTGCGAGCGAGGGTTCGGCGGCGGAGACACTGGCAGCGGCAGCCGGAGTGTGAGGGCGAGAGGCAGCCGCCGCGGGGCCTGACGGGAAGTGTAGTCCAGCCGCCCGCCGCCCCCGCGCCCACTCGGGCTGGGCCAAGCCCTGGGGACTACAACTCCCAGAGTGCGCCGCGCCTAGCCCTGCCCGCACGGCTGGGGGGGGGTCGGGTGTGCAGAGCCAGCCGAGTCCGGAGAGGGAGCGAGTAGGAGGGGGCTCCGCACCCAGCAGCGCAGCGCCGCGCAGTCGGGGGAGGGGGCTCCACGCCCGGGGAGAGGCTGGGCCTCTGAGCGCTGCACCCCGGGGACGGGGGCCGAGTTCCAAAGCCGGGTCCGGGTCGGGGGGCTCCACACCAGGGGTGGGGAACCGCGCTCCACACCCGAGGGGGGTGGATAGGCGCCCCACGCCCGGGCAGCGGGCTCTACCCGGCGAAGCGGGCTAGACTGGACGGGCGCTGCCCAGGGGAGGGGGCGGGGTGCACAGCCACGGGCGCGACGTACACTAGGCTCGGGGGGGCCACGGCCGGCCGGGCTGACAGGAACTTCTCCCCGCGCTGCTCGGAGCCAGGCGCCCCCAGCCGGAGGCGGATCCCGCGCCCCGGGAGGGCAGGCACGGTCCCTCCGGTCCGGGGACGCAGGAGAACTCTCCGGCCCCTCGGGCAGCCCGCCGCCTCGCCTGTGTGGCGGGGATGCGCGGCCAGGCGCCCCCAGCCGGCCGGGTTTGACCCGAGCGCCCCACCCGGGGAAGGGGTAGCGGTGTGTGGGCGGCTCACTTGCCTGGGGAGACGCGACACCGCCCCGCCCGCCCCGCCGCGAACCGGCCGGCACCGCCTGACCCGCCGCGTTCGGCCCGGCGCAGCCTGGCTGCGGACCGCAAGTTCCTCAGCCGCCGACGCCGCGCCCCCGCTCCGGGGCACCGAGCTCGCAGGCCGAGCTGAGGGCAACGCCCGGCCCTCCTCAGCACCCTGGGCAGCCCGGCCCCCGCGCCACGCCAGCGCCCTCCCGCGCCGCCTCCCTTCACCAGGGAAGTGGGGACCTCGCGCCCGGTCCCCCGCAGGGCCCTGTCCCCTGCATCTAGGGCTTTGCACCGCACAGCCCTTTTTCTTCTGCCCCACCACCGCAGGGCCTTGTCCCCTCTGCTCCCCCCCCCGCAGGGCTCTGCGTCCCCCCAGCACAGCCCTGTCCTCTCTGCCCCCATATCTGCGCAGGGCCCTGCTATTTCTGTCTCCCACCCCACCCTTGGGCTCTGCCCCTGTCCCCTCTGCCCTGTACCCATGCATAGCCTTATCCCCTCTGCCCCCTCCCAGTGAAGGGCCCTGCCCCCTCTACCCTAGGGCTCTGCCCCTTCACTGCACAGCCCTGTCCCCTCTTTCCCCCTTCCCCCACACCCAGGGCTCTGTCCCTGTACCACACAGCCCCGTTCCCTATGCCCTCCACCAGCACACTGCTCTGACCCCACACACCCGTCGGGCTCTGCCCGTGCACTGCATAGCCCTGTTCCCTCTGACCCCTACCCCAGGGCTCTGCTCTCCCCACTGCTCAGTCCTGTCCCCTCTGACCTCCACTGCCCCCCCCCCACTCGAGGGTTCTGCTGCTGCACCACAGGGCCCTATCCCCTCTGCCCCCCACCATCGTCATACAGCCCTGTCCCTTCTGTCCCCTGACTCCAGGGCTCTGTTTTCCCCCCACTGCACAGCCCTGTCCCCTTTGCCTGCCACCGTAGGGCTCTGCCCCCTGCCACCAACACAGTCCCCCCTGCTCTGCCCCCTATACTCTGCCCCCCACACACTTCAAGGCTCTGCCCCTGCACTGCACAGCCCTATCCCCTCTGCCCCCACCACCACTGCAGGACCTGTCCTCCACCACCACCACAGAGCCCCGTCCCCTCTGTTCTCCCTCTCCAGGGCTCTGCTCCCCCCCACTGCACAGCCCTATCCTCTCTGCCACCCTCCACCATCGCAGGACCTGTCCCCTCCATGGTCTGTCATCCCCCTCCCCCACCTTGCCCTTGCACTGCACAGCCCTGTTCCCTCTTCCCCCCACACTGGGGCTCTGCCCTGCACAACCTTGTCCCCTCTGCGACCCCCTGTCCCTGCAGGGCCCTGTTCTCTTCTGCCCTTCTTGTAGTCCCTGTCCCCTCTGCCCTGGCCTTCACACCCCTCCAGTGCCCTATACCTTCTCTCTCCCTCTAGCACTCTGTCTCCTCTGCCCTGCCCCCTTCCTCCCTCTCACAGCGCCCTGTGCCCTGTTTCTTGTACTCTGAGCTACCTCCCCCACCTACTTCCACCAGAGACCTGTCCCTTCTCCCCCATGAGCTGCCCCCCCCATTCAGTACACTGTCCCTTCTGCCCAGCTCCCCCAACCTCTTGTCCTCCTTCTGCTCTGGACCGTCTCTTCCCCATGTTGCTCTGAGTACGCTGCCCCTCCTGCCTGGGTCCTTTTCCCCTCCAGTGCCCTAGGGCCATGTCCCTTCATTTCTCCCCACACTCTGTCCCCTTTTCTGCCCTGGACTGGAACCTTCCCTTGTCTCTTCTGTCCTTGCCCTGGTGCTAGGAGCTGCACCCCTACTACATATTCTCTACACCCTGGGGCCATGTGCCCTTTCCCCCTCCCCTGCCTTAGGGTCAAGAGTCCCTCCTCAAACCCAATCTACCTCACCTCAGCAGCTGTGGGTCCTTGGCACCTCATCTGCTCCACAGCAGGGCTATTGTCCCTTCCCCAGCAGCTGTGGTCCTCTACCATAGAGACCTCTGGCCCAGGATCCTGAGCCCCACTCCTTATGCTCTGTCTCCGCTGCTGTGGTGACATGATACTCCCCCACCTTGTGCAGATTCACTCCACCTGGGAGCTATGAGCCACTGGGTTCATAGCCATCTGCTCTCTGCTGTGGAGCCGCGGTGCTACACCAATCCTTCTCTGTCCCAAAGCCATGGGCCCTTCCCCTCCACTCTGGCTGTGGACCTTTCTCTGGGTATCCCTCTCACTTCTTACTCTTCTCTGTGGCCCTAAGTGCTACCCCAGTGTCCCATCCCCTCTGCTCTGAGGCCATAAGTCTCTCTGTGCCAGGCCCTGACATGCTCTCCCCCCGAGTGCCCCATCTCCTTTGTCCTGGCAGCTGTAGGCTCCATCTGTATCTGTGCAGCGCCCCATCCCTTCCAGCCCTGTGATGCCCAGTCCCCTACATCCTAGGGCTTCAGGTCCTTCCTCTGCTCTGGAAAGTCTGCTCCTCTCTGTAACATCCCCTTTTGCAGAGTTCTCTGCCCCTCGACTGTTTTTTCTCCAGAATGACAACATCTGTTGTCTTCACTGATCTGCATCATACATCCTGGGGTGAGGTAAGGGGCTCTTTCATTGAAGTGCCCCCGTAACCTGGGTAGTAACTAATGTCTCTACCCAAGAGGCGTATTCAGCTGGATGGTGGTAGAGGACCAAAGGAGCTGCAGAGAGAAGCCCATTTCCTATTCCACAGAGGAAGTGGGGGAGGCATCCACCAAAGGGGAACTGTGGGGAGGGGGCAGGCAGAGACTGCCTTGCTCCAGAGAGTAGCTGGATGAGGAGGGGGAAAGGCAAGAGTCCTGTGTGCTTCTGATGGGAACCCCATATTATCTCTAAGGGGAAATGAATTTTGCCAATTAGTCGCTGCCCTCAGGTTCCTGGCATGTTGCCAGGTGACCCTTAGTTGGTAGAGTTTGGTCTCTTGCTAGCAATTTCTGTGATATCTAGGGCTTCCTTCTCTGCAGTCGAGCACCTTAACCACTCAGCCACCGCACTGAAAGGCCACCTCCCATTCACCCAGCTGTAAAATGGGTGCCTAACCCATCTGGCTGGGGCAGTCAAAGGTGGTTGGACGTGATGCTGGTCATATCCCTACCTTGTGTACCGCTGGCTACGAAACTGACATGGCTTTACCACATCAGCCCAATGAGCTGTTGGCTTGGAAGAACTTTGAACTTTTGACTTCTGTGGAGGTAGGTGCTGTAGGAAGTAGAGTCAGATTAGTGGCCATCTGCCTGGGGAGAACAGCAACGCCCGAGTCTGCTTAATTCCAATCAATGTTGCTGCAGGAGCCAATTGTTGAAAGAGGCTGGTGCCCATTCACCTAGGCGCCTTCCCATAAGAACTGAAGACAGTTCCAGGCCAGGCTTCCTGGGCAGGGGAGACTGATATCCAGAATCCACATCTCTGGGGAAAATTATTTTTCATACTCATTGGTGTTACAGTAGTATCTAAAGATCCCAGTCAAGACTGAGATAGGCACTATACAAATGTGCAGTGACTCTGCCCAAAGAGCTTACAATCTAAATAGCCCAGACCGACAAAGGGTGGGGGGGGGGGGAAGCAGGCCCAGAGAGGGGAACGGACTTGCCCAGTCTCACAGCCGGTCAGTGGCAGAAATGGGACTAGAATTCAGGTGTCTTGACTCCTAGTCCATTGTTATCTGGACCATGCTGTCCTCAGTCAAGGCAGGCCTCTTCGCCTAGGTCAAAATGACCAAAGATTTCAGCACTAAAGTCACTGGTCTCTGACAGTGACATGGAAAGGGGGCTGAACTACTATGGAGAATAACACAATGTACATAGGCTCCCCACGGAACCAACATTGCTGTTACTTTGCTTCTGATTTGATTAACAGTATTTTGGGGCAAGGGATTGCTGGAGAGGGCTCCCAGATATTGTGGCCCATTCTTATACACTGCGTTAGATTCCCTGATGCTATCCCTCTCGTTCCCTTTTCACCTTGAGGGATTACTTGCAACACACACGAGTTTATGCAGGGTTGGGGTAGGAAGACTGTTCAGTCATGTGTTGTCATGCTTCTAATTCAAGGCATAAAACACTGCCTAATACAGGGGATTAAGAGGAAGTTTACCCTATGGGCAATTTATTCTATAATTGTCCATTTCTGGGTTTTCTTACCCCTTCCCCTGAAGCAGCTGTGGGGGAGACAATATTGAGCTAGATGGAGCCGTGGTCTGACAATTCCTGGATTCTTATGAATGCAACGTCTGGTTCAGGGACTCTGTGCTGGGTTTCAAACTCCTCCATG